ATTTTTTTCTATAGTCTCCTTTCAGGAATCAAACAAAAATCCTGTTAAATTCTATTTCCTCCCTGATGTCTCATATTAATGTAATGAGAATTTTAAAAATAGATTTTATGCTGTTGTATACATATTACGCCTTTTCTTTGGGACACTTGGTGAAAAACTTCCACTATTGACATATTCTCAACTCTGCAGGGATAGAGCTGCTTACATCCATGTGGGTGGCCTCACCCACTGTCATCAGTGTTATGACAGACCCAGCAGAACCAGAATCCACTGAAATGTGTCAAAACAGAATCCAGAAAACAAAAGAGATAAGTGGACAGAGCTTCCCACACCTGGCTGCCAGGGCCTTCTGGATGATTGCAGGAAACAGCAGCAGGGGTGAGACTCTGCTGCCTCCCAGAGGTCATCTGTGGTAGGACAGCATGTATAAAATAAATCACTAGAGATGGTGACAAAGGAAGACCAGACCAACGATGCTAACAAGGTCACTGCAACCACAGCCCAACAAGAGTCCATGTGCAGGTTCGCTGCTGGAGCTATAACAGAAAGCTCTGAGAACAACAGTGCTTCAGGCGCCAGGACACATTAATACTGAGAAACATCCTCTCCTTCGATACTCACCAGGTTCTACCTGGCACCTGGCACCAACAGACTTTGAGGTAATTACTTCTAAAATAAGGCAACTGCCATAGGTGTGGATAGAGTGTCAGCCTAGTGATTGAAGGGTCCCAGGTTCGAATTCCGTCAAGGGCACATTCCCAGGTTGCAGGCTTCATCCCAGTAGGGGGCATGCAGGAGGCAGCCCGTCAATGATTTTCTCTCATCATTGATGTTTCTATCTCTTTCCCTCTCCCTTCCTCTCTGAAATCAATACAAATATATATTTTTTAAATTAAAAGTTAAAAATAAGGCAAGGCAACTGTGTTCACTACTGCTCCTCTGCATGAGAAAACCTCACAGAAACAGAACCACCTTTTCCCATCAAACTGAAAGGCCTGGACACCTGGACACTCTGTGGGCCCTACCCCATCAGGGGTGCCATCGCACCCACACTCTATATCCTGGGCAGCCCTTTCTCTCACCTCCCCAGACAGGACTTCAGGTTCCTAAATGAGCACTCTTCTCATGAGCTGACACTGTGGGGAACTGACACATTGGGCATTCCGTTCATTTTATGGCACTAACCATACATAACAGCCTAATACCATTGCAAATTTAGAATAGCACAATCAACACTTTAGTAAAATTTACAACAAAACAGTGGCTTTTAGAATCATCTTGTTACTGTTTTTTAAATATATTTTTATTGATTTAAAAGAGGAAGAGAGAGGGAGAGATAGAAACATCTATGATGAGAGAGAATCATTGATGCGTTGCCTCCTGTATCCCCCCCAGTGGAGATTGAGTCCACCAACTGGGCATGTGTCCTTGACTGTAATCAAACTTGGGACCTTTCAGTTCGCAAGCCAACGCTCTACCCCGTGCGCAACCAGCTAGGAGAGAATCGTGGGTTTCTGTTGTTGTTGTTTATTTGTTTTAATTTTTTAAATATATATTTTATTGATTTTTTTACTCAGAGGGAGGGAGAGGGATAGAGAGTTAGAAACATTGATGAGAGAGAAACATCGATCAGCTGCCTCCTGCACACCCCCCACTGGGATGTGCCCACAACGAAGGTACATGCCCTTGATCACAATCTAACCTGGGACCCCTCAGTCTGCAGAATGACGCTCTATCCACTGAGCCAAACTGGTTAGGGCCAGAATCATGGTTTTAAAAAACAATTCAGCTCCTAATTTATCTCTAGTGAAAAAAGTCATGCATGTGCTCAATAATATCACACCCAGGGAATCCTATGAGTCATGGGGATGTTCCTTATCTTGATAAGAGATGTGGTTGATGTAGTTGTGGCTATTAAAACTCAGCAAGTTTATGCTACTAGAGATACATTCCATCCAAATAGGAAATGCTGGAGAAAATGTAGGAGAAAGGTTCAGGGTGGAAATTTAATTGAAGACCTAGGGTACTAACAGGTGAGGATAAGAGTGATGATGTGTTACGTGCTTTGACAACTGAACAAAATTGGGAGAATAATGGGCAGAGAAAGCAGATGACATCACTGGTCATCTCAGTAGCTGGGAGTCAGAGATGGCACTTAGAACATACTAATAAAAGTATGTTCAACAGACCAAGGTAAACATTTAAAAAACACTATTGCCGATACCGGTTTGGCTCAGCGGTAGAGCGACGGTCTGCGGACTGAAAGGTCCCAGGTTCAATTCTGGTCAAGGGCATGTACTTTGGTTGTGGGCACATCCCCGGTAGGTCGATGTTTCTCTCTCATCGACGTTTCTAGCTCTCTATCCCTCTCCCTTCCTCTCTGTAAGAAAAATCAATGAAATATATTTTTAAAAAAATAAGAAATAAATAAAAAACACTATTGACTAAGACCGGGAGATGCAGGAGAAAAAGGATAGAAGTTTGTGTAATAGGTAGATAACCAATAGCTACTGTCTACAGCACATGTGTCAAACACAAGGCCCGCGGGCCAAATCCGTCCCGCCAGGCCTTGCAATGTGGCCCGCACCGCGCTGTCATCACTGCACTCCGCTGCGTTTCCATCACAATGACAGTTTATGACTGTTCAGTAAATCATTCGGCCCTCGATTTAGGCTGGATTTTAGATTTTGGCCCCTTCTCTGATTGAGTTCGACACCCCTAGTCTACAGGAGCAAAATAGAAAGGCTATTATATAAAAAAGAAAAGTTGTTATACAGGTTTAGCATAAACGTAATCACTAAATGCAAACTTCTCTAATAACCGGAAGAACTGGGTATTTTTAAAAGGAAAGCAAACAAATCAGTAAAATGAAAGCTGTTAAAACAGGCACACATGTCTGCCGGAATACTCAACGCTGTTCAGACTGCCACCAGGAGCCCGTGGAAGAGAGCCCATCACCTAACCAGCCCCACCTACTCTCACCTGTGCTGCAGCTGTTCAAGGGCTCTGGTTCCTCAGCTCCCATGAGATCCAGGACCCACAGCTCTTCACCTTGCTCCAGCTGGGTGATCAGCTCCGGCTTAGGGACAGGGAGTCCTATTGAGGTGAGGGCACTGGGTGAGCTGGAACAGAGCACTTCCCACTGCATCTTACAGGCCAGGTGAGAAGTATAGTTTCCCCGGAGGACTCCTGCTTCTCCACACTGTCACCCCAGGTGGGAGAGGGGCAGGGATCACAAAATGTGTGAGTTGGTGGAGTGGAAGGGGCTGGTCAGGAGCAGGGGCTGAGAGTGAGCGCTGAAGGAGAATAACTCATCCGTTCTCCTGCTCCTGGGTACACAGGTGGGCACGGGCATGCAGAGTGAAGTCTGGAATTGGGAGCCAGGCAGAGGCCAGACGGGTACCTGGGAACAAGAGGTAGGACCCTCCCCTTTGGGCTCTAAGGTTTGGAAGCAGCCCCCGAGCTCCCCGGAGGCCCACACCACAAGCCCAGGGAGAACCGCACCCAGTGAGGCCACGTGCCCGTAGTTCTCCAGCATCACATCCCTGTACAGTGCCCGCTGGTCTGAGTCCAGCTGCTGCCCCTCCGAGCGAGAGAAGTACACGGCCACGTCCTGGAAGGTCAGCGGCACCGCCTCCTGTAACGACAGGTGGCCGCTGCCCTGGGGCTGCGCCCACTGGGCACACCTGCTGCGCTCAGCCCGAGGACCAGCCGGCGAGGACCCGGCTGAGTTCCCAGAGTCCCTGTCCCTGGGGAGGGTGTGAGTCCAATCCCAGAGCCCTGTCCTTGGGAGCCACGGAAGCCCGGCTTCTGCAGGAGCTGGGCTCACCGCTCCAGAAAAGGGAAGGCAGGGAGGAAAGTGAACTCACCTGGGGCGCTGGAAGCCCGAGTGCATCTGCCATCCTGGGGGAGCAGGATCTGAAGGAAGACTCAGTACCTGAGGGGGGCTGCCCTGGCCTGGGCCTCCAATGCTCACCCTCGGAGGGAGGGGACCCACACTCAGACCCACTCAGTGTCATTACATCACTTCGTTAACTTCCAGGCCCCAAGGGGTGTGAGGGCGGACAGGTGAAGGGTGCCATTAGTGGGTTCCTGGAGTGGCCCCGAGGCCACGAGTACTTTCTCTTATAGAAGTTGCTGGCCAGAGGCAGGTCACCCTGCATCAGAACTCAGCGCGTGCCTGACTGCCCATCTACTCGTTAAATCACTAGAACTGGCAGAGCCAGAATCCAGGTGGGGCCGGGGGCTGAGGGGTGAAAGCTGGCCGCTCCACTGGTCCAGTTTCCGGGCCCACCTGAGGCAGAGTTGCATCTGACACAAGGCGTGCAGCCCCCATCCGCCCCCGCCCACAGGTCGAGAGGCCCGGGACGCTGCCAGAAGCTCGCCGCCCTCGTCACCCCTTCGTCCCCAGCCTCCTGGGTCGCCTCCCATATCCTCGCCGCCCCTCAGGCCAAGCGGAGGTCCTCATTCTCCCAAGTCTCCCCGGCGGCCTCCTCCGGCCCGCGAGCTCCGGCAGCCCGAGGCTGCAGACACAGCCCGACGCTCCCACCGCACGCCCAGGCCGGCCGGGGCCGACCTTCCTCCCGGCAGGTCACTTAAACCTCCGCGCCGCGACCTCGGGTGAAACCTCCCGAGGCTCCGCCTGGGCACTTCGGTCCGCGGGGCCTTCCCACGCCTCCCTTCGAACCCGCCCACTCGGCTGGCTCTTCCTCCGTCCGCACTGGGCCCCGGCGGCTCCCGCCCGCGGTGGAGAGCTCGCGCGCGGAAAGGGATTCTCACCTGGGCGTAGCGGGCCCGATGGGAGGGGCGGGGCCAGACGGAACGGGCGGGGCCGGGCGGAACCCGAGCTAGGCGCGCCCTCCCGGCTTCACTGCCCCACAGGCCGCGGGGGCCGGAAACAGCAGCGCGGCCGACTGGCACTTCCGGGGCTTCTCTAGGACCGCGGAGGACTCGCGCCGTCGGTGGTCGGGCGGGGAGAGGGGCGTCGGAGAGGGTCCCGGTGGGCAGGCGGACCTGCAGGACAGGCTGGACCCCGAACACCGAGCCCACTCTCCGCTCCAGGCCCGGGCCAGCCCTGTACAACCTTTTATTTTCTTTTTCTTGAAAAGGAAAGAATCTGCGTTTTCTAATCTGTGTGAAAGGGGAAACGCTCGGGCCCGCAGATCACAGAGGATCGGGTCCTCCCGGCTTCCTAGAGTTTCCCGAAAGTACTTTTGGGTGGCTTCCGGCCGCCCTGCCGCTTTGTGTTCGGGCTGTTCCGCTTCAGACCTCGCGCGCGCGCCAGGTGGGAGGCGGCTCGCCCTGCGAGTGCGGTGGGTTGGGTCGCCCTCTCCCGGGAGGGGGCTGCTGAGCGGCACGCCGTCCCTTCGTCACCGGGGCGAGGTAACTCTGGAGGCCGGAGGCCTGTCCGCGACGGTGGCATTCAATGCAGCTTGGGGCGCGGCCGCTGAACGCTGACCTTGGCTCGTGCCCACGTAAGGTGTCCAGGATGCCGCGGCGAGCTCAGCACATGACTCGAACCGGTCGCATATCTGTCGACTCTTTCTCCCGCGCCGGTGGCTGCTCTCTTCCCATCCCTGCCGTCTCTCGCTAACTCCTGCCTCCCCTCTTCCTGGGACCACCGGATCCCAGGGTGCTTCCCATGACATGGGCTGTATTCAGTAGTTCCCACTGCCACTGTCTCCAAGTTGGGAATCAGGTCAGGCCTGTCACTGATCCAAAGGACGTGGGAAGTCACTAGGCTTCTCTCCACCCTCTCCAGGCAGCTGCAGCTGGGACCGGACTGAGCCGATTGATCAGAGAGGAGGAAGCAGCCATGTCCGCCGTCGGAGCTGCAGCTCCATACTTGCATCACCCTGGTGTCAGTCACAGCGGCCAGGTGAGTTTCCTGGGGGCCCAGCTTCCCCCAGAGGTGGCAGCCATGCCCCGGCTCCTGGGGGACTTGGACAGGGGCACATTCAGAAAGCTGTTGAAGCTGGTGGTCAGTGGCCTGCAGGGAGAGGACTGCCGTGAAGCTGTGCAGCGCCTTGGGATTACTGCGCACCTGTCGGAGGAGCGGCTGGGTGCCCTGCTTGCTGGCACCCACACGCTGCTCCAGCAGGCCCTCCGGCTGCCCCCAGCCAGCCTGAAGCCTGACACCTTCAAGGACCAGCTCCAGGAACTCTGCATCCCCCAAGACCTGGTCATGGACTTGGCCAGTGTGGTGTTTGGGAGCCAGCGGCCTCTCCTTGACGCTGTGGCCAGGCAGCAGGGGGCTTGTCTGCCCCACGTTGCCAACTTTCGGTGGAGGGTGGATGTGGCAATCTCTACCAGTGCCCTGGCCCGCTCCCTGCAGCCCAGTGTCCTGATGCAGCTGACACTTTCAAATGGGTCAGCACACCACTTTGAGGTCCCCACAGTCAAATTCCAGGAGCTTCGGTACAGCGTGGCCTTGATGCTAAAGGAGATGGCTGACCTGGAGAAGAAATGTGAGCACAAACTGCAGGACTGACCTGCTCTCCCAGTGGCTCTGGTGACCGGAGGGCAGTTGCTCAGGCATATCCAAAGGGAAGCCCACCCTGCCTAGGAAACACTCTTCAGTGAGCGTGTGAATGCAGCCATGTCATTCTGTTTGATTGAAAAAGTCAGCATTGTTTTTCCTTTATTTGGGAGTAAAGCAATGATTAAAAACATGTCTTCCTAGGTCATGTCACGCTGCACACACCTCCCCTGGCTATTGGTGGCGTTGCTGGGTGAGGGTACCTGCAGCTCCAGGGTGGCCATCTGGTCCGGTCAGTCTAGGGCCCAGTCCAAGGTCTTTATGCCAAGTTTATTCAGTTGGACCCCAGATAGCATCTGAGTGTTCTGTTCATTTGTTTCTGCGAACCATGTGTTTCAGAGTGGATATTTCATCCTCATCTTAAATCCCTGATCTCCAGGAGCCAGCATTGTAGTGGGGAGAGGAAGACATTACAGAGTGCATACCAGCAAACTGGTGTAACTTGTTATTGGATACTAGAGGCCTGGTGCACAAAATTCATGCATGGTTGGGGAATGGGGGAGGTTTGGTATGTGTCCCTCAGTCCAATCTGCCCTGTCAAATCTGGGACCCCTCAGGGAATGTCTGACTGCTGGTTTAGAGCTAAACCAGCAGTCAGACACCCCTCACAATCCAGAACTGCAGGCTCCTAACTACTCTCCTACCTGCCAGTGTGATCACCCCCTAACCACTACCCTGCTGGCCTGATTGATGACTGACTACTCCCCTGATGGCCCGGTCACCCCACAACTGCCCTCCCTCCCATCCCCTGCTGGCCCGGTCACCCCCAATTGCCCACAACTGCCCTCCCCTGCCAGCCATTTTTGATACATGGGGGTGGCCATCTTGTGCAAGGGTAAGAGGATGAATTTGTGTATTACCTCTTTATTATATAGGATAGTAAATGATAAAATAGGCCAGTGTCCAGGGAATGGGTAGCAGGACTATGGAGAATTAGGCTGTCATTTTACATTGGGTCATAACGTGGGCCTCCTAGATGATGGTATTGAGCAAATTTGCAAGCGGTGAGGGTGCAGTGACCCAAAGAAGACTTATGGGCAGAAGGGGAGTGTAGAGGTGAGGGAGGGATGTCCCACCATGACTGCTGTTTTAGGAGGATCTGTACTGAGCCTTCACTCTGGGTCCACCAGCCCAAGCTGACCAGCACACCCAGGAAGAGGGGCCTTTCTCAGCAGCTCCAGGGTGGGTGTGGTCAGCTTGGGCTGGTGGACCCAGAGTGAAAGACACAGACCTGGGAGCTTCTAGTGTGCAAGATTGTCCAGTGCAATCAGGAATGGAGACCTTGGGTCTGAGCCCAGCCTGTGTGCTCCATCAGGATGCTATAAGCTCCACTGCCACTGTGGGACCTTGTGGCTGGGGCTCCATGGCTCAAAATTATGCACCTGGTGGCAGTGAGAAAAGCTGTCTTCCTGGCCACCCTTGTACTGACTTGGGGCGGGGGGGGGGGGGGGGGGGGGGGGGGGGGGGGGGGGGGGGGTGGTGAGAGGAGGGGAATGGACCTGTTACTCAAGAACCCACCTCGAGCCTCTCAGCAGCCCCTGCAGCAGGGTTTGGGCAGACACTTGGAGATGCATCATCAAATAGGTAACTACTGGGATTTTCACACCTTTTTTCTGCCCACCAGGACACAGAGAACAGTGGTGCACCCAGCTGGAGTTTCTGGCTATCTCCACGGCTGTGTTGCTGTGACTAATTTGGTAGTCCATTCTGAGGGTTACCAGAGGGTCAGCAGACTGGGGAAGGGGGATTTCTGAGGCACAGCTTTTGGTCCCGTGCCATGTTCCCAGCACCACCTCATCCCAGGTAAGTGGGGGCACCCACCAGCCTCCCCTCCCACCACAAGATGGTCTGTGCCTTTTGTCATTCAGTTAGGAACAGATGGTTAAGATGTTCTCCATCCTAACCTGGCCAGGTAGCTCAATTGGTTACAGCATAGTTCCAATATACCAAGGTTTCAGGTTTGATGACATCAGGGCACATGTAAGAACCAACCAATTAATATATAAAAAAAAGTGGAGCAAATCAGTGTTTCTCTGCCCCCCTCCCCCTTAAATCAATTTTTTAAAAATCATTCTTCACTCCAGGGTCGTACAGAATCCATTGGTAAGTGGTGTCAGCTCTCACTGTTTCAGCTCTCATCAGGCTGAAGTGGGCAGACCCCGTACACCCACAGGATTCACCCAGACTACAAAGGAATCGTCTACCCTTCTTTGTGGTTGATTATCATGGACCTGGACATGAGGACAGAGGCTGGCCTTTCCCACCTTTGTCCCAGGGAATGATGCACCTGGAAAATTACCTTTCAGCTGTATCAACTTTATTTAAATCCTGTAGTAGTTGGTAGTTGTTCCTCTTCTGTGGGGCTCTGACTTCTCAACTTCAAAGCCTGGATACTCCTCAAAGTCATCATTCACTCATTCAGCAAACATTTGCTGGGGTGTGAGTATAAGTCACACACACTGGCGATACAGGTGTGTAAACTCACTGGATTCTGTTTTGCCGCAAACACTTTGGGAAGTTTCCACAAACCTCAAAATGGTTACAATCCAACATCATAAACCAAAGCTCAACCTAATAATTGAGAATAAAAGCAACCAGCTTAGAATTATGGGTTTAATTTATTGACTCAATAAGGGAAGTCCAAAGTATTTTAAAACCTATTCTTAAACAGTGCTGGAAATCCTTAAAATGAGTTGGTATTTACTGAAGCCCAAATTGGGGAATATTGCATAAAAGTAGAGGTGGGCCAGCGGGGCTCAAGTTGAACATCAACCTATGAACTAGGGCACATGCCTAGGTTGTGGGCACAATCCCCAGTGTGGAGTGTGCAGGAGGCAGCCAATAGATGATTCTCTCTTATCACTGATACTTCTATTCTCTCCCTTCCTCTCTGAAATCAATAAAAAGGTATTTTTTAAAAGAGGACAGAATATTTCAAAACATCTGGTCTGCTTGGTAGGCATTCAAAACATCCAGTTTTATGGCCTCAGCGCCACACAAAACCAGGTCTTGGACCGGGTTCACCAGCCCCTGATCTAGGAACATAGCTGTGCAGACTCAAATACTGAAGGAGATTTAAGGTAGAAGTCTCTGGCCTGCAGTTACTGTTAAGAAAGAGCATCATGTCCAGGCTGGAGTCTGGAAGAATCCATATAATACTCCATCCTTTGTCCCTCATTACCCAGTAGTAGACAAGGGAGGTGGTGTCCAATGGAGAGGCCCTTCAGTGCACAACAGTAACAAGTGCCAGGAGATGGCAAGTGTGCCCTCTCCACTCAGTACCCTGGCTCCAGAACCATTATTGGATGGCCTAAAATATTTACGGCCCTTCCAAATTGGGCCCACCCATCCAGAAGTGCCAGCAGTGACCACATAGGTGAGCACAGCAGTTGAGGTGGGGACACAATGAGCATAACCTCTGCATAATGTACAGAAGTCCCTGACCCTCTGGCACTGACCATTCCAGACACAAGTTCTGGGTAGAGTAGGGATGACTAGAGAGATGCGCCCACTGATTTCATGGCATCCTGGCACTAGGTGGAGGACCTGTCAGGCAGTGAAGGATAAGCAGTAGCAGTTGATAATCAGGCTGACTGGCTCCACCCATGTGCTGGAAACACAAACTCGCATAAACTCAACCACCTCAAAGTCCACTGCTCCCAACAACTGAAGAAAGCTCGAGAAACTTCCTAATACAAACATGGGAACCAGCAAGCATTTTTTCCCACTTGACTCAAATCCATAGCCTGCTACAGGCTATGCCATGCATGACAATAGAAGTGGTAAGGTCTTGGGGACCTGCTGTGGGCTTGACCAAACCAGTGTAGTGACCCAAATTAAGTGTCACAACAAATCCTGAAGTGACTAACCTGTCCCTCTCTGGGATACCTGTACACATATGGAAGAAATGGCTCCTCCACTGTGCAATGAAAGCATCTCAAATATTGCCCCTCCGATTGTGGTACCAAAGGTCAGCAGTCGCAAGTGGACCCCTGGTCTCTGGACTCCCTCCCAACTTTTGAATCCAGGACACTGGACAGGGAGGGGGTCAGTGCAGCAGGTCTATCTCATCCAGTGTCCTCCATGGCAGAAACTGCTCTGAGAGAGAAAGTGAATGAACATGGGCCCAGCCTGTCAGTCAGAATAATCATAGTGGCTTGGACCATATGAAAACTCACGTTGACCCTAGGTGGCTGCATCCCTGGGTTGCTAATTGGGGAAAAGGTTTAAAGGAGTCAGGTGAAGGCAGAAGGTAATTCCAAATACTCCTCTTCTGATTTCAGCACATGCACGCTCACACATCCTTGCTTAAGCCAGTCTGAGCATACTGGTGCTGAAGAAACTGAGATTCTCATCTGGCAGAGCTCATAGTACTTCAGGCATCAGCTGCAGAACCTGGGTCATCCCTGTGCACACTCAGAACTCTACACAGGACTCCCCTGACGCAAGGGACACTGGGTTATGGATTGGGTTAAGATCAGATTCCCAGCAATAAACACATTTGTATGAACTTGGATACTTTTAAAGAGCAATTCTGAGTCTACTTCCTAGCTTGTTAGTATCAATGATCCCATATAATTTAAGTAGGTTAAGGCTGGGTTTATTCCCACTTACACACAAAGAGGTGAGTGGCCAAAAACGGTCTGGCTCAGAAGATAGTGTCAGCCTGCAGACTGAAAGGTCCCAGGTTCAATTCTGGTCAAGGGCATGTACCTTGGTTGCGGGCACATCCCCAGTGGGAGCTGTGCAGGAGGCAGCTGATCGATGTTTCTCTCTCATCGATGTTTCTGGCTCTGTTTCCTTCTCCGTTCCTCTCTGTAAAAAATTAATAAAATAAAAAAGATGAGTGGTCTATCCCATATGAATCTTCTGATGCTGAGTGAGCCTTGAGCTCCGATTAAAGGCTTTGCCACATTCATTACATTTATAAGGCTTCTCTCCAGTGTGAATCCTCTGATGTATAATGAGATGAGAGCGCCATCTGAATATTTTCTCACATTCATTACACTTGTGTAGTTTCTTTACAGTGTTAACTTTTTTACGGCTCACATGAGTAGAACCCTCCAGAGTGCCCCCATATTCATGGTACCATTGGGCACGTGTGTGAATCCTCTGGTGCTCAATAAGGTATGAACTTCGACTAAAGGCTTTCCCACACTCATTGCATCCATAGGGCTTTACTCCAGCATGAATTATCTGGTGTTGGAAAAGGGTTGAGTTCTGACTAAAGGCTTTCCCGCAGTCACCACATTTATAGGGTCTCTCCCCAGTGTGAACCCTCTGATGAATTGTGAGCTGTGTGCTCATACTGAAGGCTTTTCCACATTCCAAGCACTCGTAGGGTTTCTCTCCCTTGTGGATTCTCTGATGGTAAATGAGGCTTGAACTCTGGCTGAAGGCTTTTCCACAATCACTACACTCATAGGGTTTCTCTCCGGTGTGAATTCTCTGGTGCTGAATCAGGTGTGAGCCCTGGACAAAGCCCTTCCCACACTCATCACATTTGAAAGGTTTTTCTCCAGTGTGAGTTCTTTGGTGTCGAATAAGCCGTGAGCTACAACCGAAGGCTTTTGCACATTTGTTGCATTTATATGGTTTCTCTCCAGTGTGAATCAGCTGGTGCTGACTAAGCCGAGAGACCCACCTAAAAGCCTTCCCACACTCATCACATTTAAACGGCTTCTCTGCAGCGTGGATTCTCTGGTGTGCAACGAGGCTGGCACCATCCAGGGTTTTTGGAACTGAAGGCTTCTCCCCAGTGTGCATCAGCTGGTGCTGAGCCAGAGTTGAACTCTGGCTGAAGGCCTTTCCACACTCCTGGCATGAGTAGGGCCTCTCTCCAGTGTGAGTCCTCTGGTGTCTGACCAGCTGAGACTGCTGGCTGAAGGCCTTCCCACACTCACGACAGCCATAGGGCCTCTCTCCTGTGTGTACCCTCTGATGGTGGATGAGGCTGGAGCTCTGACCAAAGGCTTTCCCACATTCCTCACACCTGTAGGGTTTCTCTCCAGTATGAATTCTTTGATGTTGAATAAGTTTTGAGCTCAGGCGAAAGGCTTTCCCACACTCTATGCATTTGAATGGTTTCTCGCCAGTGTGGATTCTCTGATGCTGATTAAGCTGTGAGCACAACCTGAAGAGTTTCCCACATTCCGCACACTCATATGGCTTTTCTCCATGGCAGTTACTTTGATGTTTCCCCTTAAAGCAATCAGACAACTTTTTCTCACACTCCTGACATCTGTTACATTTCTTTTGTACACCGAAGTGAGGCAGAGCCATGAATCTGAAACTGCTGCCACACACATCGCATCTTCGAGATGGCCCGTCTACAGCAACCTCCTGACTTTTCTCAGGTTGACAACCCAGGCTGACATGTCCCTGCTTATCCTCCTTGGCAGAGGTCTTTCTGGAAGCCACAGTCCCTGAGTGCAAGTGGTGTTTCTGAAAGAGAGAGCTTAGCTTACTCTCTGGCCAGACCTCGGGATCAGAGGTGTCTCCAAATCCAGGACTCTGAGCATAATCCCAAGGGGTGATTCTGACCATCGCTGTCAGGGACTCCGATTTTAGCAAGTGCACATCTTCACCAGCCTGCTCACCATCAGTGCTTATTGGAGAATCTGAAACATACAGGCAGGATAAGGCTGCTTTTCCCGAGCTCACAGAAAGGGCAGAGGCTGAGGTGGGGATTATTACTAGGAACTGAGCTCCCTTCTAGGACACCTGACATGCAAAGACACTATCAAAACTTGACACCTTTGACAGTTCTCAAAATCTGGTTTCATTCATACTTTTTCTTTTACACATTCATGTAACCGCAGTGTACTCAGCTGAGCGCTAAGAGCCACTCTCCAACAGGAGGCTACATCAGCAGAGGTTCATTCTGTGGGGAAATGGTGTGAGGAAAAGTCCATAAAGAATCTACACCCTAGCCGAAACCAGTTTGGCTTAGTGGATAGAGCGTAGGCCTGCAGACTGAGGGGTCCCGGATTCGATTCCGGTCAAGGGCATGTACCGTGGTTGAGGGCACATCCCCAGTGGGGGGTGTGCAGGAGGCAGCTGATCGATGACTCTCTCTCATCAATGTTTCTAACTCTCTATCCCTCTCTCTTCCTCTCTGTAAAACACATGTGTCAAACACAAGGCCCGCGGGCCAAATCCGTCCCGCCAGGCCTTGCAATGTGGCCCGCACCGCGCTGTCATCACTGCACTCCGCTGCATTTCCATCACAATGACAGTTTATAACTGTTCAGTAAACCATTCGGCCCGCGATTTAGGCTGGATTTTAGATTTTGGCCCCTTCTCTGATTGAGTTCGACACCCCTACTGTAAAATATCAATAAAATATATTTTTCAAAACAAAACAAAACAAAACTTAAACAAACAAACAAAAAGAATCTACACCCTAGATGATTTGGTTCAGTGAATAGAGCGTCGCCCTGAGGACTGAAGGGTCCCGGTTCGATTTTTTTTTTTAAATATATTTTATTGATTTTTTTACAGTGAGGAAGGGAGAGAGATAGTTAGAAATGTCAATGAGACAGAAACATCGACCAGCTCCTACTGGGGATGTGCCCACAACCAACGTACATGCCCTTGACCGGAATCGAACCTAGGACCTTTCAGTCCGCAGACCAATGCTCTACCACTGAGCCAAACTGGTTTCGGCTCCCAGGTTCAATTCTGATCAAGGGCATGTACTTTGGTTGTGGGCACATCCCCAGTAGGAGGTGTGCAAGAAGCAACTAACCAATGTTTCTCTCTCATCAATGTTTCTAAATCTCTATCCCCTCTCCCTTCCTCTCTGGAAAAAATCTATAAGAAATATATATATATATATTAAAAAAAGAAAAAAAAAAAAAGAAAAAAAAAAAGAGCATGTATCTCAGTTACAGGCTTGATCCCAGCCCCAGCTCGAGTGCATACAGGAGGCAACCAATCGATGTGTCTCTCCCAAAGAAATGTTTGTCTTTCCCACCCCCTGCTTTCATTCTCTCTAAAATTCAATTGAAAGCCAAAACCGGTTTGTCTAAGTGGATAGGGTGTCCGCCTGCGGACTAAGAGGCCCTGGGTTCAATTCTGGTCAAGGGCATGTACCTTGGCTGCTGGCACATCCCCAGTAGGGGATGTGCAAGAGGCAGCTGATCGATAATTCTCTCTCATTGATGTTTCCAACTCTCTATCCCTCTCTCTTCCTCTCTGTAAAAAATCAATAAAATATATTTAAATAAATAAATAAATAACAAAATAAAATTCAATTTTAAAACTATCCTCAAGTGAGGATTACCAGCAAAAAAAGAAAGTGAGCCTGATTTTTTTTTTGGGGGGGTGGGGGGTGTTTATTGAGAGGCAGATTTAGGCTGAGAGGTCAGAGGAGGTAGTGAGGAAAAAAGATGAATTTTAAACTTAAAATAGAGGTATGGGCAGGTGCTAAGAAAGACAAGGCAGGAAGGCTAATGAAAGGTGTTCAAAGGTGAGGCTGAAGGGCTGGGCATGGGCCTGTCTCCTGGTTGGACTTCTGAGTACGTCCCAAGGCCAGAACTCTGCTTTCTCCAGGCCCCTCTCTCCAATTTGACACCTGATCATGTCCCTTGCCAGTCTGCGCCTCACCTTCCCCATATGGATTTCTCCTTCCTGTGCATTTCTAGGGGTCCACCTACCCTGCCAGCCCACACAAGCCTTCCTGACATTCACTTACCCTCTGGACTCTCCATATAAGCTTCAACCTCCTTCCTGCTCTGCAATCCCAGGAAGTGTCTTTGCTTAAGTCGGATCCTGTCATCCCTAATCACCTCCAGACCCCTCACTAGCCTAGGTCTGTCCCACAGTGAAACCGCGGACCCAGTGACAGGCTTCTCCTGACACCTCACATCAGTGCTTCAGCAATGGAGACCCATCTCTATGTCAGTCCTGGGGTATGGAAGAGGCTGCATACAAGTTAGTGAGGTCAGCAGTGGATAAGGAGTGTGTGGCTCAGAGAGGTTAAAGAGTTCACCTATGGTCACACAGCTTATGAGAAACTAAGGAATAAACCCAGGTCTGTTCCACCAAACACACTTTTTCAACATCTCTCTGACCTTAAGATGTAGGACATCTCCTGCCTGTTCCTCACTGTTTATCGTTTCTGCACAAACAACCTTGGTAAACCTGCTCTACCAACAGGGCAGGAGCAGCCATAGAGAGATAAAACAGACAAGCACTATTTCCTCTGCATGCTGTTTCAAGGCAGAGGCCCCTATGAACAGCCCTGAGAGAGCAGTTAAGGATGTCAGCACTGCCTGGGCCTCCTGCAGCCAGATGAGGACACTGCAAGCCCACCTGGCTGCCTTGGCGTCCACCTCCCTCTCTCCGGCAGCCAAGTCTGCAAGCAGCAGTTAGTGACATTACAAAGGTCTTGCCTCCCTACATGCCACATCCCTAGCAACAGTCTCCTATACTCAGCCAGCAGGCTCCTGTCTGGCTCAACATGCATATGTTCCCTCCCTCAGGGTCACGAGACACCTGCACACAGTACAGCCCATCTCTTCCTGTGCCCACTTACTAAGGACTACTCCTCTGGCAATGACCCTCTCCTCTCTAGCCCAGCCAGGCTCCTCTGAGCTTGCTCAACCAGGCCTCCCCCTTGGTATGAATAACAAAACACTAGCAAGCCTTCTAAAGCTCCACATTGCATCCCCAAGATGACACCAACCCCTTTATTTTTTTAAATTTCTTTACTATATTTTATTGATTTTTTACAGAGCGGAATTGAGAGGATAGAGAATTAGAAACATCAGTGAGAGTTTAGAAACATCGAACAGCTGCCTCCTACTCACCCCCTACTGGGGATGTGCCCACAACCAAGGCACATGCCCTTGACTGGAATCGAACCCGGGACCCCTCAGTCCGCAGGCCGATGCTCTATCCACTGAGCCAAACTGGTTTCGGCAACACCAACCCCTTTAAAGCATCTGCTTGAGAAAACTGGAGGATGCTTGTTCCAGCCAACTCCCAAGAGCAGGGCCCATCAGCAAGCCAAGTGTGTCACATGGACCTGCCTTTCTCTTCTGTGATCCATCACACCCCATGCCTGGCTCCATCACCTCTAAACAAATGGAAGCTGAGTTAGCTCTCAGTGTACTCTGACCTATTGCAGTTGTCACTCGGACTAAATTCTGTCCTCACCAATGCAACTATGACACTGACCATGAAGTCCCCAGGGGCTTCGAGTCCTGGGACCAGGCTGGCTGTGAAGTATCAGCTACAGGCCCTGCCCTCTCCCATAACAAGAGGATCCTGGACTATGAGCTGCACCAACCAACAATATCACACTTGGGCATGTTCTAACATGTTCCACAAACAGTCATCCACAAGGCTGTCCTCTGCCCTGAACATCCAGGTCTGGGAGCAGCTCTAAGTCTCATCGTAGGGAAGTCTTTTTAAAAAAATATATTTTATAGATTTTTTTACAGAGAGGAAGAGAGAGGGATAGAGAGTTAGAAACATCGATGAGAAACATCGATCAGCTGCCTCCTGCACCCCCCCCACCCCCACTGGGGATGTATCTGCAACCAATGTACATGCCCTCGGCAAGAATCGAACCCGGGACCTTTCATTCCGCAGGTCGACGCTCTATCCACTGAGCCAAACCAGTTTCGGCGGGAAGTCTTCTTGATGCCTAACCACCAGGAAGGTCACCTCCATATGTGAACCACTTACTAAGGAGCTCTGGCTCTCCTGCCATGGTGTCAGCCTGGCCTACGTGGCTCAGGGGTTAAGCACTGAGATGAACCAAGAGGTCATGGTTCGTTTCCCAGTCAAAGTACATACTCGGGATGCAGGTTCAATCCCCAGTGTGGGGCCTACAGGAGGCAGCCAATTAATGGTTCTCTCTCACCACTGATGTTTGTATCTCTCCCTTCCTCTCTCTGAATCAATAAAAACAGGTATCTTTTAAAAATATCTCATCCTAACCTGTTTAGCTCAGTGGATAGAGTCAGCCTGCGGACGCAAGGGTCCCAGGTTCGATTCCAGTCAGGGAGCATGTACCTTGGTTCTGGGCACATCCCCAGTAGGGGTGTGCAGGAGGCGGCTGATTGATGGTTCTCTCTCATCCATGTTTCTAACGCTCTGCCCCTCTCCCTTCCTCTCTGTAAAAAATTAATAAAATATATATATTTTTAAAATATCTCTCCATTTTGGAAATGTGACATGAGGGCTGGGTTTTAACTGGGCCAATCTGTCCCTTTACATCAAGCATGTCAAACTCACGCCAGGCGGCTGCATGCTTGCTTTACACCTTCCTAGAAAGGGTCAAAAAGAGGTCTGGACAGGAAGGCCCTTGTTATGAGCTGATTGTGCCCCCCAAAAAAAGGTGTGCTGAAGCTCCAGCCCAGACCCTCAGAATATGAACTTATTTACAAACAAGACCCTAGAGATGGAGTCAGTTAGGATGAGGTCACACTGAAGTATGGAGGCCCTAATCCAATGACTGCTGTCCTTGGAAAGATAGACACGGAAGAATGCGCTGTGACAAGCAGAGGAACACCTGGGGCCACCAGAAGCTGGAAGGATCCTCCCCTACAGACTTCAGAGGGGTCACAACCCTGCCAGTGCCAAGACTGTGAGATGTTAATCTTTGTCAACTCAAGCCTCCAGTGTACGGTGCTTTCTATGGCAGCCCGGAGCCTGACCTGAGAGGCTAGGGTCATCTGAGATCCCAGAAGGTCTGGAGGAAGCTCAACAGTACCAGTGACAAGATGTTCACCCGAGAAGCTGCTCAGAACCAAGATTACTCCTTCTCTGGCATCCATGTGTGTATCTTAATAAGAGTATTGGTAAGATGAGAAACTTAATAAGATATGGTTTAAAAACAAACTTGCATGGTGATCTCTAGCATCTGCCTTCCCGGTCAGATTCTATGCACAGGACCAATCCTTACCTGTCTGGAGGGTCCTTCGTGCCTCTCTCGCCTCTGTTCCCTGCAGGTCAAGGACCCATGGCTCTTGCCCTTGCTCCAGCCGGGAGATCAGCTCAGGCTTGAAAAGCAGAAATCCTGCTGTCAAGGTGACAAAGGAAACCACATTGGTGCTGCTGGGAATGCAGCTCAGGACTCAGTGCCCCCTGGTTTCCAAGAGTAAAGGGTGGGAGGCTGCTGGCACAGGCAGAGTCTCTCAAGGGAGCATCATAGGGTTATGATCTGGGCACATGGGCCCTCTGTCTGGTTCAGTCCAGCTCCTGAGGCTAGACAGCAAGGGATGCCTGGACTCCCAGCCCATTCCCTCCTGCTTCAAGGCGAAGATCCCCAGTGGACCCTGTCACCCAACAGTTTGCCAGGAAGAGGCCACTGTGCTTCAAGAAGAGAAAAGCGAGGCTCTACCAGCAATCCCCTCAGTTCAGAGGGCATGTATGTGTTCCAAGAGGTAGGGGTGATTAAGAAATAGGACAGGAGCATTTGAGATCTTGCTTCTCAGCATAGATCATCAGTTTTGGTCAAAGAAACTCTTATTTTAAAAAAAAGACAAACAGCCAAAACCAATTTGGCTCAGTGGATAGAGCGTCAACCTGTGGACTGAAGCGTCCCAGGTTCGATTCCGGTCAAGGGCATGTACCTTGGTTGCGGGCACATCCCAATTAGGGGGTGTCCAGGAGGCAGCTAATCAATGATTCTCTCTCATCAATGTTTCTAACTCTCTATCCCTCTCTTTGTAAAAAAACAATAAAATACATTTAAAAAAAAAAAAAATACAGCCAAAACCGGTTTGGCTCAGTCGTTGTCAGCCTGCGGACTGGAAGGTACCAGGTTCGAATCCGGTCAAGGGCATGTGCCTTTGTTGCGGGCACATCCCCAGTGGGGAGTGTGCAGGAGGCACCTGATCAATGTTCCTCTCCCATTGATGTTTCTGACTCTCTGTTCCTCTCTCTTTCTCTCTGTGAAAAATCAATAAAATATAATAATTTAAAAAAAAATACAAACGAACAAAAAACCCACCCTGGCTGAGTAGTTCAATTGCTTAGTGTTGCCAAGGATGCAGGTTTGATCTCCAGTCAGGGTACATACAAGAATCAACCAATGAATGCATAAATATGCAGAATATCAAATCAATGTGTTTTTCTCTCTATTTTCCTCTTTCTAAAAATCAATAAACAAAAATTTGTAAAAAGGAAAAAAATGTACCCAAAAGAACAACAAAAATAAAGCAATGAACAAAACACACTTTAAACCAGAAGGCAATGAGGTCCAGTCTTCACACAGATACCCCCAGTCGTGCATCCTTGCGCAACGCAAAGGGAGCTAGGCAGCCTTGAAAGCGGTGGAGATCTGTGGATATCCATCTGACAGCTTCCTTCTAGGCCATCTGCCCCTTGCTGCAGGCATCAGTGTGGAGATCTCCCATCCCATCCCACCCCACCCCACCCCACCCCACCCCATCCCATCCCATCCCTGTGTCTGGAGCTTCCCTCAGGTTCCCGACCATGGGGGTGGAGAAGGGCAGGCAGGGAGATCCCAGGTTGAAGGCCTCAAGTGCAGGCAGTATCCCACACTGAACAGGAAACGTGTGTTCTCTTCAAGCACACATGTAACGTTCAGAGAAACATGCTTGGGCCAGCCTTGAAGGTGTCATGGTGCAGTGTTTAGGACCCCAGAACACAGATCCACCAAAATGCAACAGAACATGAAAGTAACCACAGCACGCAGCTCAAAACTATCAGCCATTTGGAGATTCAGTAGCCATTTACTAACTGGCACAATTTGTAGGATGCAGCTGAAGTAGTATATAAAGAGAGAAGTTTACATTTTTAAATATATTTACTAAAAATAAGGACAGTAGAACACAAACGAATGAGGTAAACTGTAAATTCACGACATTGGAAACAACACAGCAAATACAAACAAAGGGAGAAAATAATAAAAACCGGGCAGAATTCAGTGAAATAGAGAATAAGGAGCCCCACACACCACTCCCCAAAAGTTGAGCAAAACCAAAACCTTGCTCTTTGAAATGATGAATAAACAGTCCTAGGGCAAAACCAATCAAGACACTGCCAAAAACTTACATAAGGAAACAGCTGCAAACACAACAGAGCTTAAAAGTAAAGAGGGAGAGTATTATAAGTAACCACATGCTGAAAATGAAAAATCCAAGGGAATAGATGAATTTGTGCAAAAACTAGGAATGACAAAGGTGACAAAAGGAGAGATTCACAAGCTAGCTGGACCACAGACCATGAAAGAAATAAGGGCTTCCCCAGGGCCCAGGTGTTTCACAGGGACTCCTCTAAAAAATTTGACAAGTTCAACTCACTCCATCTATATAGATTCCTCCAGAGGTTAGAAATGATGGGGGGAGGGGGGCCCGGGAGCTGTTTCGTTTGAATTCTATTTCCTAAAAGTTAATCTCTTAGCCAAGACAAGGAAGAGGTTGTATCGCCTCCCAGAAGTCCACATACCATGTGAGGATTAAACCTGTGACGTGATCAAATCTAGGAGCCTGGCTGGCTCACCATGACCTATGCTAGGGTCAGGACCTGACCACATGGCCTCCATATCCCCAGCTATGAAATAGGCCTGGCTAGGCAGGTGCAGATCTATGACGCAGGGGGAGGGGTCCCAAGGTGCAGGCTCACCTAGTCCGGCCACACTGCTGTGGTTCTCCAGCATCACCTCCTTGTAGAGGGCCCTCTGGCCAGGGTCCAGGCACTGCCACTCCTCCCGTGAGAAGTGCACAGCCACATCACCAAATGTCACAGCCTCCTGAAAGGGCACAAACCAGCACCCCAGGGACTGCTGGGTACCAGCCCTATTCTGGGGCCACCTCACGGTGTGTCTCAGAAATGTGGACCACAGGGTTGGGCAAGACAGTCACCAGGAGACTTTGGCTCTAAAATCAAGGACAGGGGCAGTATGGAGGAGGGAAGGGACCCAGGCCATGGACCTACAACCCTCCACTGGAGAGCCTCAGGCAGGCCCGAGTCCTGGCAGTGGTTTGCTCATTTCCTTGGGGATGGGCCACAGCAAGAGGCTATTGCATGATCTAGGCCCAGGCACAATGGACAGAGTGGATACCCAGAGGAAGTGGCAGAACCCTCATAAGAAGAGTGCGGGAATTGAGGCAGTCAGACTCCTACCATGAGGCTTGGTGGGTGAGTATCCATGTGTCCTGGCCGAGAAACCTGTTGACAGTTGTGAAAGGGTCAGAGGTCAGGGTGCTGGAGGCCCCACCAAACCTGACATCCAGGACAACACAGGGGGCACTGTGTTCTGTGATCCTTTACCTCCATTTCCCGGTAGTCTCTGGCTGGGACACAGGGGGAAACCAAAGCAGACACAGTACTTGAGCATATGTCCCCCGAGGCTTCATTCATCTTTCAGATCTTTCAGAGCGTGTGGTGGTTGTGAATCACTCCACGGACACTTCCGGGGTGGATGCCACTTGTGCCAGGTGCTCAACCAGGCAACAGGATGCAGCAGTGAGCAATGTACAAGGGCTCTGCCTTCACGAAGCTCAGTCTAGTAGAGAAAAAAGTTTAGTAACCACCCAAATAAATGCACCGTTAGAACTGTGAGGACACCCACATACAGGGAACTACGAAAGCATTTACAGTAGGATACTCTGCCCTCGACGATTTGGCGCAGTGGCTAGAGGGTTGGCCTATGGATCCAAGGGTTCCTCACAAGTCACTGAACAAGCATTGTAGGGTCCTGGGTTCAATTCTGATTCTGGTCAAGGGCATGTACCTTGGTTGCAGGCTCCTCCCCTGCCCGACCCTGGTCGGGCTCACGAAGGAGGCAACTAATTGATGGATTTCTCTCACATTGATATTTCTGTTTTTCACTCTCTCTAAAAATCAATGGAAAAATATCCTCGGATGAGAATTTAAAGAATAAAGTAGGATTCCCTGACTTACTCTGATGGGTGACTTCCTGGAGGAGTTATCTAGGCCAAGGAGATGGAGATAGGGAAGGTGCTCAAGCAACAGGCCCAGCATTTGCAAAGGGGCTCAGGCAGGAAGGAATGGGCCAAAGGAGCCAGTGGGGCCAGATCACAGGGAATCGCTTTGTGACCGGACATCAGAGTAGCTGGGAGTCTGATAATGAATCGTGGGGCAGAGAATTGGATACAGGAACCCCTCATGTAATCTTGGCCCTCTCCCCATGTCCCCCTGGTAGGTCAGAGTGAGGAGATTCTGGGTCAGAAGTGGCTTGTGTTGCCAAAACCGGTTTGGCTCAGTGGATAGAGCGTTGGCCTGCGGACTGAAGGGTCCCGGATTCCGGTCAAGGGCATGTACCTTGGTTGCGGGCACATCCCCAGTAGGGGATGTGCAAGAGGCAGCTGATCGATGATTCTCTCTCATTGAGTTTCTAACTCTCTATCCCTTTCTTCCTCTCTGCAAAAAATCAATAACATACATACATACATATACATGTACATATACATACATACATATATATATATTGTTTGTTTTTAAAGTGGCTTGTGGGGGGATGCCCCAGGCCGTGTGCACGCAGAGAAGGGCAGCCCTGAGAGGCAAACTTCCCACCCACGCAAGGAACAGCCCTTCCAGACACTAAGACTAGGTTTTCCACGGGCCGTGAGGGGAAGGAAGGCCCTTGGAGACGGTGGTCGTGCAGGAAGAAGAACCCAGGATCCCTCGAGAGCAGGCTGGCGGGAAGGCCACGCTGGAGCCTGCAGCACTCGCCCCAAACCCTCCCGCCTCCGCCGGCGAAGCGGCCGCAGCTCCGCCACATCCTCTGTCAGGCGCTCGGGGTCTCGCCAAGGCGTCGCGTCGCTCGAGCTTCCCCGCCCAGAGGCTGCGGAGGGAGCGCGGGGCCCGCTGTGCTGGAGGCGGGCGGGCGCGGTTCCGCTAGGGCGCTCCAGGGGAGGGCGCGGGCGCCGCAACTCACCCTCCCGCAGGACCGCCGGGAGCCCCGAGCGTGCGACGACGCCGGAAACAGGCCTCGAAACCCGCGCCAGCTGTCCAATTGGCTTCCGGCCCCTCTGGGCGGCTAGGAAGCTCGGCCCTCTCGTTGGTTCCTGACTGGTCCCCTGAGAAGGGGCGGGGCCAGAGAGCGGGGAGTGCAGAGCCTTGGGAGGGGCGGGGCCCCTGCCAGGCCGGGGCTGGAACGATGGGGGCGGGGCCAACATTGAAGTAGGTCGGGGCCGAGCCCAGAGGAAGTTCTCTTATAAAGACTCACTCTAGTTTAAAGAGAATAAAACTGAGAATATATATTCTTCTTCATTGAGTTGAGAGAGAAAGAAACATCTGTTTGTTATTTCACTTAGTTATGCGTTCATTAGTTGAATCTTGTACGTGCCCTACCCGGGACGGAACCCGAAACCTTGGCTTATGGGGGCCTCCTTCGCTACCAGCCATAAAAAACTGACTTGGAGCCGAGACCGGTTTGGCTCAATGGATAGAGCGTCGGCTTGGGGACTGAAGGGTCCCGGGTTCGATTCCGGTCAAGGGCATGTACCTTGGTTGCGGGCATATCCCCAGGAGGGGGTGTGCAAGAGGCAGCTGATAGATGACTCTCATCGATGTTTCTCTCTCCCTCCCTTCCTCTCTGTACAAAGTCAATAAAGTATATTTAAAAAACAAACAAACAAAAAACCCTGCCCTCCCCCCCCCCTGCCCTGCAGCTGTCCCTCCGGGTCTCCGGGAAGTCCCCTCTCCACAGCTAAGACCCCCACCTCCATCCATAGCTGCTCCCTTTCCGGGTTCAAATCCCACTCACCCCTTCACGCAGGTTCTGGGTGAGATCATGCTCCCTCGCCCATTCCCCCTTCGTCCTGGCCATGGAACCCCAGCTCTGCTCTCCCCATTTACTGGCTGGCTGCCCCTCCTCCTCCGCAGAAATCGGACGTTTCCCCTCTGTCTTCTGAACCCCGGTCTTCCTACTGTAAACCACGTTCCCCGAACCTACCCACCCGTTTCCTTTTAAGGGGACCTGGTCAGGCCAAGTTTGGAGCCCCGGACCCCACGCTCGGTGTTAGGCAGCGTGACCCTTCGAGAGTCCTCTTTGTGGGTGGGGCGCCCCTCTACCCTTCTCCCGGGCCCAGCTCGCTGGACGATCGCGAGGCTCGAGAGCTGCCGGCTCCCCAGTGCGCCTGCGCAGAGTCCCGGGCGGCGGGGTAAGACTACAGGTTCCAGGGTGCACTTCGCCTGCGGCCTCGGCGCCTGCCCGGAAGTTAAAGTGCTTTAGGCCCCGCCCCGGAAGATAAGGCCGCTTTCGAGCGCTGAGGATCCTCTTTCCGCCGCGCTAGGCAGAAGGTGAGTAGCGTTTTTTCCCCTGACCGCTTCGCTGTTATCCGCCGCCATCCGCCGCCCTGACGCCCACGAAGGACCTAGGCCAGCTCCTGAGATGACTCCCGGGTGCACAGCTGGGGGTGGTGGCTCGAAGGGGGCCAGGAACTGGAGATGGATGGATCCTGGGAAAAAGGAGCATTGAAGCCGGGTGGCGGGAGTATCTGTGTCCGTGTAGTGTGTCTCTCCCCCTCCCTACCCCCCCCCCCCGGCGCTGACCGTGAGGTTTCCCCAGACTGCCGCCATGGGCCGCGTGATCCGTGGGCAGAGGAAAGGCGCTGGCTCCGTGTTCCGCGCGCACGTGAAACACCGGAAGGGCGCCGCGCGTCTCCGCGCCGTGGACTTCGCGGAGCGACATGGCTACATCAAGGGCATCGTGAAGGTGCGGGGCGCAGGCCGGGGCCGGGTGGGCTTGGGGCGCTCCGCTGGGTCCCCCACGCTCACGCCGCCTCGACCCGCAGGATATCATCCATGACCCAGGCCGCGGCGCCCCCCTGGCCAAGGTGGTCTTCCGGGACCCGTACCGTTTTAAGAAGCGGACGGAGCTATTCATTGCCGCCGAAGGCATCCACACCGGCCAGTTCGTGTATTGCGGCAAGAAGGGTAAGTTTCGTGCTTTGATGGGAGGATGGGGTTGCATTGGGAGGTTCCCCCCCTAGGCTTTTAGGAAAAAGCCCCACGGTGAACCCTGCCGTGCCGAACATAACCTGTGTGCAGTGGTCATTTTGGGGTGTTTTGAGTAGGGAGTGGCTTTGCGTTGCCTCTGGCCAGCAGTCGTTAAAAACACTAACCTGCCATACCGCTGTCTCAGACTGAGTATTGACCTATGAACCAGGAGGTAACCGTTTGGTTTCTGGTTGGGCAGTTGCCGGGTTGTGGTCTCATCCCTAGTGGGGTGAGGCTGCTGATGGATGATTATCATTCATGGTTTTCTTCCTTCCTCTGAAATCCATAAAAATGTTTTGGTTTTTTTTTCCGAAAGTGCCATCTCACCATACTGACTTCCTGGATGCTCTCCCTTGCAGCTCAGTTGAACATTGGCAATGTGCTCCCCGTGGGCACCATGCCTGAGGGCACCATCGTGTGTTGCCTGGAGGAGAAGCCTGGTGATCGGGGCAAGTTGGCCCGGGCTTCTGGAAATTATGCTACGGTCATCTCCCACAACCCAGAGACCAAAAAGACGCGAGTGAAGTTGCCCTCGGGATCCAAGAAGGTCATTTCCTCTGCCAACAGAGCTGTGGTCGGTGAGTGGCAGGCAGCAGTTGAATGTTTTTAGTCGCGTGTGAACAGCTAGCAAACCGGTATACCCTGGCCCTGGAACCCAGCTTCCCATTCCAATAAAGTTTAGGCTCTGTAAGCTTGAGTATATAACATAGTTTTTGAGTTGTGATATTTGAAAAGTGGGCACAGTGGAACCTGCTTCATTCTAGGGTTGGAGTTAAAGTAGACCAGGTTTAACCCACTGGACTTGTCTGTATTCTCATAACCTGGACTTTCATGGTTCCTGCCCCTACCTTCACCTGCTAACAACCTTTTCAGAGATGTTTGATTACCATGAAATCGCCCAGTATGTGCATTATAAAGGATTTGCATCCAGGTTTGTTCACTGTGCTGTTTGACAATGCTTTCAAGTCTTGTGGTAAAGCTGGCCAAGATATGGTATGGTATGGTATGGTATGGTATGGTGGTTCAGCCATCAAGTTGGATTTCAAAGGTTGAGTGACCTGCTGCCCATGTCAGATGTGTTACGGGGAGGGCTTCCCTGGAGAAACCTGGATTGAGATAGGCATTCCAGGTGACATGGTATGTCTAAATGTGTTGCTTGGCATCCCATGGAGCCTGAAGAGGCTTGCTGTCAGTTACTAGGGGGTTTCTGGGTGGTAGTTGCCAAGTGTTACTGGCACTTCTGTGAATTTAGTGATGCTATATGACAATACAGAGAAGGTGTTTCGTGCAGGTGTTGGGGTGCTGAGAAAAACCGGCAGGGAATACTCGTCTGATGAGAGAATATGATGCACCTTTCTGAATTGTCCAATTATCCTCAACAGGTGTGGTGGCTGGAGGTGGCCGCATTGACAAGCCCATCCTGAAGGCTGGACGTGCCTACCACAAGTATAAAGCAAAGAGAAATTGCTGGCCACGTGTGCGGGGTGTGGCCATGAATGTAAGTAGCCCAGTAATAGGCAGTGGGGAGTATTTAGGATACAGGGCCTCAGGCTGGGAAGGCAGGTCCTTTGGGATCTCTCTTCAGGTGGGGAATTTGGGTGACAATTAATAGTATAGTATAGACCTCTTGATCCAGCCCTTTCCCCAACCTCTCCCTTAGATAGATTGGATCACCACACGTTAACACTACCTCCCTTTGTCTGCAGCCTGTAGAGCATCCATTTGGAGGTGGCAACCATCAGCACATCGGCAAACCCTCCACCATCCGCAGAGATGCTCCTGCTGGCCGAAAAGTGGGTCTCATTGCCGCTCGCCGGACTGGGCGTCTACGTGGAACCAAGACTGTACAGGAGAAAGAGAACTAGGGCGGGGGACTTAATAAAGTTTGTTTTCCTGCCACTAAGCTGTGCTGTCTGGTTTCAGAGGGAGGTGTTCTCCTGGGAGGACGACTGAGCAGAGGCAGCTCAGGTGGGGGTGGGGATGCTCAATCCAATCACACCTTCATGTGCCTGGAATCTCTGGAGCATCCATCAAATGGACCCCTATCCTGAGCATGGGAGAGAGTAGGTGAGGGTGTGCATGTCTGAAGCTACAGAACTCTCATGGGCTTCCTGTTTGGCCACAGCTAATGATAACTAACCTTTTCCCACATTTTCTGCCAGTTCTGTCAAAGGTGGCAGAGACTGCTAAGCAGGCATCAAAGTGAGACCCTAGCCAAAACCCGGTTTAGCTCAATGGATGGAACATCGGTCTGCGGACTGAGGGGTCCCAGTTTTTATTCCAGTCAAGGACATGTGCATTGGTTGCGGGCACATCCCGGTGGGGGTTGTAGTGCGGGAGGCAGCTGGTTGATGTATCTCTCTCATAGATGTTTCTGGCTATATTCCTCTCTGAAAAATATGTTTTTAAAAAAGTGAGACCCTTAACCCATCAGCCATTAGGACCAGGGCACCCAAGAATCCCTTGTGAGCCCGTGAGAAGGGCTGCAGGGCACTACATGATGACCACCTACCTGAACATGGGATGTGCCTGAGTCTGCAGGTAGATGCTCTATCCACTGAGCCAAATGTTTTCGGCTGGACCTCTGTCAGGGCTGGAGTTAGGTCAGTCCTGCAGGCAGGCAGCTGTTGATGTCAACAAGCTAATAACTGAATACCAAGGATCAAGTGAGCTTCCTTGTGTCCCAGAAGGAAAAGCTGTGACTTCCCATAGAGAAGACAAAATCCCTGCATTTTTCCTGGATTCTGCCCCATGCGATCGCTTAACTGGCGTATTTTAATGTCCTTTCCCTATAATACACTGTAGTCAGCTTTCAGAGCAAGTTGAGTCAATGTAGCAAATTACTGAAATTGAGGGTGATGTTGGTGGCCTGTGAACTTTTGATTGGCAAGTCTTGAACTCCACCTCATTTCTCAGGTTGAGAACTTTTATGTATGACAAGCATTTCCTATACTCACCCAGGCGGGCCATGGCAGATACCCCGTGCTCCCGGTACCATACCTGTGACCTTCCTCTGCCCTTGGCCAAATCCATGCCCGGGAAGGATCATCCTGGGCCTTGGCCACGAGTCCCTCTGCATGGAGTGGCCTAGTTTCACCATCGTGTCTTCCAGTAGTGCCCGCCTCTCTTAGGGCCACTTCAGGCTTCAGTCTTCTGCTCCAGAGGTGGATCATGCATTGTGTCCCCACACCTGGTGAGTCTAATTTTACTACTAACAGTAGCAGCCGTCCCCACGCCTTCACAGCTCTGTTCCTAATTGTTTGGAATTGGTACACGAGTCTCAGGTTTTCCTGGCAGTATTTTCCCTTATTTATAGAAATTCCTTACCCAAAGTTACTCCTTTTTTTTCCACCCACAAATAGGTTCTGCTCATTACTTTTTTTATTGGAAGGTATGTCAGGTTATACAGTTACACAGAAACAAATTTCAGGTAGACTAAAATGTTCCCCAATAGAAAATTTGAAAAGAATTGTCAAATTCTTGCTATCTGTAAGGAGAAACACTCAGAGTTAAATACATAAAATGTGCAGACTCTGAATAAGAGTGAAATGCTACCGACAAGTCATAGCTGGGAAGTAATGGGTGAGGTGAGAAGGCAGTTATCAGAGTGAGGGGATCTCCAGATCATTTTGGCCTCTCATGCCAGGGCCACTTCATGGACCAGCAGCTGGTGTGTCACCTCCCATTCTTGGGGCAGAAATGCACAGCCCAGGAGCCTCCCTAGGGGGAGGGCGCTGTGCTCACTCCCAGCTCCCCGGACACTGAGCCTGATGCTCACCAAGAGGCCCATGGCATCTGATCAAGAAAAGGCATAATGAGCCCTAGCCAATTTGGCTCAGTGGATACAGCATTGGCCTATGGACTGGGGCGTCATAAGTTTGATTCCGGTCAGAAACACGTGTCTGGGTTGCGGGCTTGATCCCCAATGGGGGTTGAGGGGGGCGTGCAGGAGGCAGCCCATCAATGAGGCTCTCTCATCATTGAGTTTCTGTCTCTCCCTTTCTGAAATCAATAAAAAATATATATGTATCTCATATAATTTCATTCATAGATATAAGTGGTTTAACAGAAAATAGTCCAACATTCTAATTCTATGTGTAATAATTAGAATAATCATTGTGTTTAGGAAAGGCATAAAACGTTCTAAGAAACCTTTATTTGGGATGTAAGCAAGTTTTATTGTTAAAATAATCCTTATGCTTTGGTTTCCTTTAGTTTCTCAATTTATTTTATTTTTTCTTTAAACATTTTTATTGATTTCAGAGGGAGAGGGAGAGAGAGAAACGTCAATAAGCAAAATCATTGATGTGCTGCCCCCTGCCCTCAGACCAGAAATCATTCTCCTCTCGCCCTGCACTGGGGATCGAGCCTGCAACCCAGGCATGTGCCCTTAACTGGAATAAAACATGGAACCCTTTTGTCCGCAGTCTGATGCTCTATCCACTGAGCCAAATCAGCTGGGGCTTAAGTTTCTCAATTTAAACTGTCTAATGTTAAAGAATTTTGATTGTCTTTACCAAAATCCACTAAACTGTGATTACTCTCCAATAAGACCTCAAGATGTTGAAAAAAATAAAACTGGCACCTCTGAAGTTATTCCCCAGGAGTGATGAGCTCAGTGCTTCTCCCTGGAATTACTCTAACCCTCAATTACCAAAGGGCTTCCTATGCAGCTGACAGGAGCCTCTGCTGAGCTGGGGGCTTCCTGAGTGTGTGCCCAAGCGAGAGCGACATGTGGCTGCCGAGGTCACGGCTTTTGGTGCACCTTCTGGTGCTGGATCAGGTGCCCATGCTGGTTGAAGGCTCGACCACACTCAGCGCACTCATAGGGCCGCTCGCCGGTGTGGATCCTCTGGTGCTGGATGAGCACAGAGTACTGGCTGAAGGCCTTCCCGCAGCGGCTGCACTCATAGGGCCTCTCGCCCGTGTGCGTCCTCAGGTGCACGATCAGCGTGGCTTTCAGGCTGAACGCCTTGTCGCACTGTGTGCAGCGGAAGGGCCGCTCACCGGTGTGTATCCTCTCGTGTTGAACCAGAGACCTCCGTGCACTGAAGGCGTGCCCACACTCGCTGCAAACATAGGGCTTCTCTCCGGTGTGCACACGCTGGTGCTGGATCAGGTGGGAGTGCTGCACGAAGGCCTTGCCACAGGCGTAGCAGCCGTAGGGCTTCTCCTCTGTGTGGATCCGCTCGTGGTTCATCAGGGTGGAGCGGTGGCTGAAGGCCTTGCCACACTCCCCACACTCGTAGGGCTTCTCGCCCGTGTGCACATTGTGGTGTTGGATAAGGACGGAGCGGTCGCTGAAGGCGCGCCCACACTCGCTGCAGGAGTAAGGCTTCTCCCCAGTGTGCACCCGCTGGTGCTGCAGCAGTGTCCTCTTGACGCTGAAGGCCCGGCCACACTCGGCACACTCGTGGGGCTTTTCCCCTGTGTGCACCCTCTGGTGGCTGCGCAGCACGGTGCTGTGGTTGAAGGCCTTCCCGCACAGTGGGCACACGTAGGGCCGCTCCCCTGTGTGGATCCGCTGGTGCTGAATGAGGTGTGAGAGCTGAGTGAAGGCCTTGCGGCACTCGAGACACTCATGGGGCTTCTCTCCCGTGTGGATCTTGTGATGCTGAGCGAGGTCTGAGCTCACACGAAATGCCTTTCCACACTCGTTACACTCATAGGGCTTCTCGCCTGTGTGTATCCTCCTATGTTTGCTGAGGACCGAGCTCTGGCTGAAGGCCTTCCCACAGACCCCGCACACATAGGGCTTCTCCCCGGTGTGGGTCCTCTGATGCTGGAGGAGATGGGAGCTCCGGCCAAAGCATTTCCCACACTCGATGCACTTATAAGGTCTCTCCCCCCCGGAAGCAGTTGGCTGCTGATCAGGTGGCTTGCTTGGGCTGCAAACCTGAACTTCAGGGGGGCTCGCAGGGTTTGGACTCAGACAGAAGCTCTGTTCAGGTTTGTAATTTCCTTCATCAATCCACCCTGGGTGAGTTTTATCCAGAATCACGGATAATTCCTCTGAAATGAATGGCTTCAAACTACTTTGGTTCCTTTCCTTGTTCTCATATTCTGAAACCACACATCCAAAGGGAAAATGTTAACAACTTTTAACCCCCTCAAACTGCAGCTCAGGTGTACCCCTGAAGGTGGCTGCCGAGGGATGGCCACAGAGGTGTGGGCGGAGAGGATGGGACAGCACAGTGGTATCAAACAAGAGAGGTGCCCAGGCTGAAAGGTAACCCTCTAGCCTGAGGTCACTCCTGTGTGAGGAACACATGCCCATGGAAGCAGGTGACATCCCAGCGCAGCCTGAGTCTTGCTCTCCCAGGAGTTCTCTGTGCACGGGGCTCCCAGAGACCATTGGGAGCAGAAGTAAATGCAGGGTCATCCATGACTTCAGGGAGCCCCGCTTGGCAGAGAGCCATGTACTAGTACATGCACTGCACAGACAATCCCACAGACACAAGACCACAGACTTGTGCTCGAGGAGCTGTGAGCTCTTCATGTAGATTGTGCTGGGGAGCAAGACGGCAGAGACAAGTTTAGGCAAGAGGTGGAGCCTCGGGGACAGCCAGGAGGACAGCGGATAAGATTTATCTCAAAAAAAAAAAAAAAAAAAAAAAAAAAAGATTTATCTCAATAAAACTGGTGAAAATATCAATATCACACCTTTGTTGCTGATGAATGAAGTAAAACTGAGTTTCTCCCTAATTGATTGTGAATTCTAATCAACCTTTTTCCAAGTAGACAATCATAAATACTCTACCACAGGGTCAGGCTAACCTCCCTTCCACACTAGGGTGCTTCATTTTTTTTTTCTTACATATAATTTGATTTTTTTTTTTTTTACAGAGAGGAAGGGACAGGGAGAGAGTTAGAAACATCTATGAGAGAGAAATATCTATCAGCTGCCTCCTGCAAACCTCCTATTGGGGATGTGCCCGCAACCAAGGTACATGCCCTTGACCGGAACTGAACCTGGGGCCCTCAAGTCCGCAGGCCAATGCCCTATCCACTGAGCCAAACCAGTTAGGGCCGCTCTTTTTTAAATGAACCAGGTAACCTTCATACTCTGCACATCCCATAAGTACGTGCAGGCAGAATCACAAGTGTGCTCTCATCTCTGGCTCAGTCACGCCAACCCATATTCCTTTCCTGGGAGGCCCCAGCTGGAAGCCATCTGCTTCCTCCCAGCCACTGGGACATGCTCAGCCCTCAGCGCAGGTGCACCAGCTCCTCTCACTCACCCGAACTGTCGTTGCCCAGGCCCCGGCTCTCTTTGGCCCCATGCCCATCCAGGACCCAGGGCTCCTCTCCTCGCTCCAGCTGGCAGATCACATTGGGCTTGGTTCCTGGAAGTCCTGCTCAGAGGAAGGAAGGTCTTCTGTCTAGAGCAACCCACCCAACCTGAGCAGCCGCAGGTGGGAGATAGCACCAGCCTCCCTCCGGAGCTGAGCACCCTGAGGAAACTCCAAGCGGCCCCTCCCGCCGCTCCTGGACGGCCCTGCCCTGGGAAGCTCACAGACACAGACTGGCCTGCTGAGGGGCCTTACCCAGGGAAACCACGTTCCCGTAGGTCTCCATCATCACGTGTCGGTAAAGGCCCCTCTGAGCAGGGCCCAGCTGGTCCCACTCCTCCTGGGAGAGCAGCACAGCCACATCCTCGAAGGTCACCTTCACCTGAAATGACAGGGGCTGCTGTAGGTCAGGCCACGTCTCCACGTCTAAGAAAGAGTGGTTGTGCCCTAGCCGGTGAGGCTCAGTGGATAGGGCACTGGCCTGTGGACTGAAGGGTCCCAGGTTCAATTCTGGTCAAGGGCATGTGCCTGGGTTGCGGGCTCAATCCCCAGTAGGGGGTGTGAAGGAGGCAGCCGATCAGTGGTTCTCTCTCTTCATTGATGTTTCTCTGTCTCTCCCTTCCTCTCTGAAATCAATAAAAATATATTAAAAAGAAAAAAAAAGTGGTTGCAAGCAACATGGGGTGAGGTATACCCCAAAATTGGGGGGAAGCCCTATGACACATGGGGAATCCCTGGGAGCTAATGGGGTGACAGGAAGGGATCATGGACTTCAGGGGACGTGCTGATATTCAGGCTGCCACTGGGAGCCCTGGGCCAGGGAGAAAATGCCTCAGGGGCAGCTCACCTGGGGTCCTGCTGCTGGTGGCAGGAGACTGGCCGCTGCCATCGCCCGGTTCCCTGGAGTGTCTTATGAAGATGGAACTCGAAGAATCCTGTGGGGCTGAGAAAGAGGAGGGAGCACATGAAGAGCCTGGCCTTGCCCTGCAGAGTCTGATTTCTGGGGAGCCCTGCCCTCTGTGAGGTCTGACCTGACTCTTCAAGAGTCAAAGAACCACACCAATTTAAAACTACCCATGCAATTAAAAAAGTGCAATCCAAAAAACAAAAACAAAACAAAACAAAACAAAGAACCACACCATTCCCAGGAGTGGACCCAGGAAGGTAAAGACCTTGGGAAGCTGGGGACGCTTGCGCACCTGCGGACTCTGGGCCTTCTGCCCCCCGTACCAGGCCTGGCCCACAGTCTGCTCACAAGGGCCTATGCAAGACCAACAGCATGTGCACGGGTGCCAGTGGCCCTCTGGTCTGGTGTGGGTGCCAGGCCAGGCTGCCCCAGAGACAACCCCCCAAGAGGAGAGGCTGGGAGGGATGGCTCTGCTCAAGGCCCACACTCCTGCAGGGACCCCACCCCCAGGCCCTGCATGCTTGGCTTGGCCATGACCCTCCATGGAGACTACTGACACCGCAGCTCTGCCTGGCTGTGCCTGCCAGCCCTGGTGCCTCGTGGGAAGTTGGGTTCTGATAAAGGGAGTCTGGAGAGAATCGGGAATTTGGTCTAAGCCTCTGACAGGGAGGCCAGGTTCTGGAAAAGTGAAGCTGAGATCTCTGTCATCTGTCCTGCTGGACAAAAGGAGGGACCAGTGGATGTCCTGACGGGAATGGGGCTCACATTTTCCGAAGTGCTGGCAGGGGTCTGCAACAGCACACAGAAGCCCAGCAGGCAGACCACACCGGGAACAACAGAGGCACCAATCTGGAGAATGCACTCTAGGCCACCTGGAGGGGGCGCCACAGCCCTGCTTTCTTTTCAATACATGATGTGGGTGCCTGTTTATCCTGACACCTTTCCTGAAGATACACACTGAACTCACGGCATCTGCCCCTCTATTCACCCAAAGTGCCCATTACCCCCAAATATGTGTGTGTAAGTGCAATGCAACTCTAATGGAATCCAATGACTCCTTTGTAGGACAAATTAAGAACATGGACAATACCTAAAAAGGGGACTGTAGAGAAGCCAAGAGCTTGGAACTTAACTTTTTATTATTATTATTTTTTTAAGCTAAGTTTTAGGAACTTAACATCCTCTTTGGAATTTTTTTTTTAAGAGTTTAAAGCAAAAGTGAGTTTATTATTGAAGCATTAAGACTGATAGCAGGGTACTCCACAGGCAGAGCAGCCATTTCTGATGACGGTCTTGATGCCAGCATGCCTGTCCTTCCAATGTCACGTGACAAGTTGTGACAGACACCCTCTGAATCCTGGGCTGGGTGGCTCTGAGAGCTCCCTACCTCCCCTTCCCCAGGTTTTCGTGCAGGAATGCCTTGCCCCATCATGTCCATGGAGAAACACCTTCAGAAGCGGCAGCTCTGAGCCCAGTAAGTGACCACAAACAGACATGTGAGCCATGAGATTCCTTACACTACCAATCCATAACAGAAACATGGGGGAAAGACTCTAGTCACAAATGGCAAGGAACATGCTGCTGATCCTGCACTCTGCACCCACAAAGCCTGGGCAAGAGCCAGATGGCCGAGATGAAGCGGCAGCTCAGAACCGCAGTGCAGGCCCGGCTCGGATTCGTGTTACTGTGGGAAGATGACTCAATGCGTGGTGCCATGACAAAGGACTCCATGCTCTGAGAAAATGAAACCACCTTGCTGGGACCGGTTTGGCTCAGTGGATAGAGCGTCGGCCTGCGGACTGAAAGGTCCCGGGTTCGATTCCGGTCAAGGGCATGTACCTTGGTTGTGGTGTGAGGTGTGCAAAAGGCAGCTGATCAATGATTCTCTCTCATCGATGTTTCTAACTCTCTATCCCTCTCTCTTCCTTTTTCTGTGAAAAATCAATAAAATATATTAAAAATGAAAAAAAGAAAAAGAAAATGAAACCACCTTTACACAAACCTCAATGAATCTTTTATTTTATTTTATTTTATTTTATTGATTTTGTACAGAGAGGAAGGGAGAGAGATAGAGAGTTAGAAACATCGATGAGAGAGAGTCATTGATCAGCTGCCTCTTGCAGCTGGGGATATGCCCGCAACCAAGGTACATGCCCTTGACCGGAATCGAACCCGGGACCTTTTGGTCCCCAAGCCAACACTCTATCCATTGAGCCAAACCAGTTACAAACCTCAATGAATCTTGAAGAAAGTTGAGCCAAGGCGAGAAAACAAACAAACAAAAAATAGGACAAAACAGATAATTTCCTATGTTATACGGAAAGTCTAATTACCCACTAGGCTAATTAATGAATAGGAGATAACATTTCAAATTACATCATAAAATAACTAGAATAAAAATGCAGGTAAGTTTTCATTAATTTCAGTAGTAAGGGCTTTTCTAAATACCCAAAATTTTAGAATGCCTGGGTTGCAGATCTGCTCGCAAAATAAAAATATTATGCACATCAAAACCGCCACAAAATCCAGAAGTGGGCCTAAAGATATGTAAGAATGTAATACACAATATCAGTGGTTTTCCAAATCAATGAGAATATGTATTACTCATGAAGTACATTTAGAAATAGCATGAATTGGGAGGGAAGGGGGGGTAGAGAATGAAGCTGGATTCCCAGGCCACCCACACCAAAACAAATTCCAGATGGACCCAACATTTTACCAGGATCAGAGAAAAACAAGAGTGTATTGTAAAAATAACTGTGGATTGGATTGGGGAGAGCCCGTAAAACAACACAAGGTCTTAAAGGTAAGCATTTGATCATTAAACACAGGAGGTTTTTCCACCTAAAAGAGCCCCATACCAGAACAGAGCGACCATTTGAGAAGAACGTTTTCAACGATTATGGAAAGTATGAACTGGCACATCACAAAGGAAACACAGAGGCCAGTCACACCAAAGTGTCCGCCTCATCCATCTCCAGAACGGAAATTAATGTAAGACACTGACCTGGCGAGAATGCGGCACGTCGAGGAGGAGGCCCTGGCCTGGACCTCGTCCACCGCCGGGGCGGGCGGCCTGCAGGGGGTGGGGTCGCCACCGGTCCTGCTGGGAAGGCGGTCTCAGCAGGGAAAGCCCGAGCCCCTCGCACCGGAGCCTCCTTTTACATTAAAAACAAAAAGCGGCCGAAACCGTTGTGGCTCAGTGCATAGAGCAGCGGCCTGCGGACTGAAAGGTCCCGGGTTCGATTCCGGTCAAAGGCGTGTACCTTGGTGGCGGACACATCCCCAGTATGGGGTGTGCAGGAGGCAGCTGATCGATGATTCTCATCTGTTTCTCTCTATCCCTCTCTCTTCCTCTCTGTAAAAAATCAATAATAATATATATATATATATATATATATATATATATATATATGCCTTTTTTCAAGCGCAGGTAAGGTGGACCCGGGAAGGACACAGAGCGAACCAGCCAGGGCCTCCACCGCGCGCCAGGCCGCTGCTCGCGGAAGGACTTCCACTGTTTACATGGCCGGCGTTTGTGCTTTTCGAGTACATGTGCTGCCGAAGCGAGCACAGGTTTGGGCTCTTCGGAAATTATTGCATAATACTGTCTACTACGACAGTAAGCAGGTGATAAACAAGGGGAAATCTGCAAACCACGTCAGAAATCGCTGGCCTGGTTCATTGGAAAAGGGGGTCAGTTACTAAGCTGCAGGAACACGACGGCGCCGCGGGGAGGGGGTGAGAGGCGGCGAGAAGCGCTTTCGCCCCGGGCCCCGCAGGATGCTTCCGGGGAGCGCGTCGCCCCCGAGGCCGACCCCTCTCCCTCCCGGGCCCGCTGTCCCCTTCCGACCGCCGCGAGGCCCGCCGTCCGCGGCAGAGGGGCCGGGAGAGGGCCTGACCGCGCAGGGGAGGGGAGGGCGCCGGGGCGGGGCAGAGGCCGGGGTGGGGCTGGCTGGGGTCCGGGGAAGGGCGCGGGCTCCGGCGAGTCCTCGCAGGAGAGGGCCGCCGCGAAGGGAGGGGACAGCGCGGGTTTTGGGGGAAGCGCCGGGCTCGTGCGGGGACGGTGAGGGCAGAAGTCCCGGCTGGCCCGCGCCCACCGCCCTCACTCACCGTCCACACCGCAGCCTCACCCACCGAGGGGCGGCCGTCCGCTGCGCTCGGGAACAAAGGGGACGCCCCGCCTTGCGCGCGCTTCCGCCAATCCGCGGGGGCCCCGCCTCCATAGGCCCCGCCCCTTCTCCTGGACCACCAATCCCAGAGCGCGGCGTCTCCCAGGCCGGACTTCGGCCCTCTCCCAGCGCCTTTCTCCTGAGTGACAGCGAGGCGCGCGCCCCGGAGCCACCGAGATCGGCGGAGGTCTCTGCACCGCCTAGAGAGACCACCTCGCGCGCGGGCCTCGTACTGACCTCACTTCCGGCGGCCTTCTAGGGGCTTCCGGCGGCCTCCTCGGGGCTTCCGGCGGCCTCCTCAGGGCTTCCGGCGCCCCCACCAGCCCCGCTCCGCCCGCCTCCATCTCTGGGGACGAAGATACCGCGCTGGCGCCCGGCTTTTTGGCCTGTGCGCTGGCGGGTCTCTACTCCGCTTGTGCGGGTTGCCGCTCCCTCCGTGGCGGAGCTTCTGTCCGCTGCTCCGGGACCCGCAAGGGAGGGCCTGGCGGTGGTTGTGAGGGTGACAGACCGCCTCGCCGGTGCTTGCTTACGGATTGGGGCCCCGGAGGTGGTGGGCGGCGCCGCGGCGCCTGCGGGCACTGTGGAGAGGTGTCCCGAGGGGGAAGGTCCCGGCCACCTGGGAGGAGCCGTGGGGGTAATCCTACACCTGGCACAGGTGTTGCGGCGCTCAGAGGTCTCAGGAGGAATTCAGCAGCGCAGGTTGGTGCTGCACGGGTCGGTCTAGCCCAGGCCGAGGCAGGTCAGTGGAGGACGTGCGCGATTAGGCAGCTGGGGAACCCGAACCGGTGTGCGCCAGTGTCCTAGCAGTCGTGAAAGCAGCTTTCTCCAGGGAACTCCGCTTATCACATCTCTCCACACACACACACACACCCCCCCCCCAGTCTCTACCGAGGACTGTGAAGCTGGGGGCCAAGGTCGCCCCAGACCCCATTCCCTGCTTTACACTTTGTCATGGCCTCGCTCACTAGATATTAACTTCTCAAGCACAACCATTTCTCTCTGTCGTTTCCTTCTGTATCCCAGTGAGGGCCAGCAAGCATTCGCATAAAAATAAAAAAATAAATAAGCATTGAATTCAGGCTGGAGGAGAAATGTGATGCCAGAGAGGGAAGAGGGAGCACGTGAGTCAGGAGATTGGAGCCTCCCAGGAGGCTGAGAGACCAAGTGAGTGATAGGTAACAGGGCAGCATGCTCTATAGAGTGCTACCTCGTGAACACGGGTTGGGATCTGTTGGGGTGAAGAGAACCTGTGTCTCTGAGTGAGCAGTGATGGGTTACCATTGATGGTCTCTGGGGCAGCCCATTCTGGCCCACGCCCAAGGTATTGACCTTTTGCAAGCCTACAACCTCTTTCCTCAGTGTAAACAGAAGCCAAACCCTTATTTCCCCACCGCAGTTATAAACCTGACTACACTATCCATGTCCTCTCCTCCTGGAACAATGCAGGAGGGGCCTGTCCACCCATGCACCCTATGACACCATGCTGGCAACCAGGGGCCTCCTGGTAGAAGTGTTGCTTTTTGATCAAGTCCCCCTTGCTAGGGGAGTGTGAACACGGCTCTGGGAAACTGAGGGCCGGTCTCCATCTGGGGCACCTAGCAGGTGCTTTATAAATGTCTGGTGAATGGGCCTGGAGGAAAACCCCAAGCCTGGGAGCTAGTAGGGAGAACAGATGGGGCAAGGAGAGCTGTCCTTTGTGGAGCTGACGCCAGGATGTAAAGGACAGAACTGGAGGCAGGGAACAGCTGCAGGTGTCATTGTATAGCGGCCCTGAGCAGGGGCTTGGGTCGCAGCAGAGCAGTGAGGAAAAAGCATGGGATCAGACTACAGATAGGCACAAAGGAAAGGTAGCAGCAGTGGACAAGAAGGTGAGGGATTGCTGGTGCGAGTACACACCACACTAGGAAAGGGTGACAGCAGTTAGACCTGACATACTCTGAACCTGATTGAATGTAAACACAACATGGATTACAGCCGCTAGCAAAGGACTCCCTCCTTGTGACTAATTACCAAACAAAAGAATTACTGTGGTTACCTTGAAGCAAATGCCTACCTTTTTTTCTACATTTGTTTACGGTAATAAATTCTTCATAAATATGCAGCCTCTATCTTTTTAAAAAATATTTTTTATTCATTTCAGAGAGGAAGGGAGAGAGGAACATCCATGCTGAGAGAGAATCATGGATCGGCTGCCTCTTGCATGCCCCCCACGGGGGACCAAGCCCGCAACTCAGGTATGTGCCCCTGACCAGGAATTGACCCCAGGACCCTTCAGTCCACAGGCTGAGGCTCTATCCACTGAATCAAACCCGCTAGGCCAGCCTCTATCATCTTTTCCCTACCAACAAACATGGCTCATAACATGTAAAGACAAAACGAAAAAGAACCAAAAGGTCACCTCGGGAGGCTGCAATGGCAGGAGGGAGGCAGAGAAAGCGTGCGAACAACACTCCAGTGGAGGGTCCCAGACTTTGTGAACAGATTGTGGGTGGAGGGCAGGGAGTGAGCCTCACAGCAGCTTCGGGTGGCTTCACTCCCTGGTGTGGGTCAGCTGGTGCTTGAGCATCTTTGAGCGCTGGCTGAATGCCTTCCCACAAGCAGTACAGTTGTAGGGCTTCACTCCAGTGTGAATCCTCTGGTGCTGGATAAGGACCGAGCGCTGACTGAAGGATTTCCCACACTCGATGCACTTGTAGGGCCTCTCTCCGGTGTGGATGATCTGATGTTGAATGAGATGTGAGCTCTGGCTAAAGCCCTTACCACATTCAATGCATGTGTATGGCTTCTCTCCAGTGTGAACTTTCTGGTGGTGAATGAGGTTTGAACTTCGGTTAAAGGCTTTACCACACTGGTTGCACTCATGGGGTTTCAATCCATTATGGATTCGCTGATGCTGAATGAGAGTTGAGCTCTGGCTGAAGGTTTTTCCACATTCAGTACATTCATAGGGTTTCTCTCCAGTGTGAACTCGTTGGTGAAGGATTAGGTTAGAGCTGCGGCCAAAGGTCTTCCCACATTCCCGACACTCGTAGGGCTTGTCACCCGTGTGCACCCCCTGGTGCTGAATGAGGGCGGAGCTGTGGCTAAAGGCCTTCCCGCAGACACCACACACATAGGGCTTTTCTCCCGTGTGGATTATCTGGTGCTTTCTGAGCACTGAGCTGTAACTAAAGGCTTTTCCACACACATCACACACATGAGGCTTCTCTCCAGTGTGAATTCTCCGATGTTGAATGAGGCTTGAACTCTGACTGAAGGCCTTCCCACAGTCACTGCATTTATAGGGCTTCTCCCCTGTGTGAACCCGGTGATGCTTAATGAGGTTAGAGACTCTGCTGAATGGCTTGCCGCACTCATTACACTCATAAGGTCTTTCTCCAGTGTGAACCCTCCTGTGCTTCCTCAGATGTGAGCTCTGGCTGAACGCCTTCCCACACTCTGTACACTCAAAAGGTTTCTCACCTGTGTGAATCCTGTGGTGTTTGATGAGGTTGGAGCTCCGCCTAAAGGCTTTCCCACAATCACTGCACACATAAGGCTTCTCCCCAGAATGAATTCTCTGGTGTTGGATAAGGTTGGAGCTCCGCCTAAAATCCTTCCCACACTCACTACATTCATAGGGCTTCTTGCTCATGTGAGACTTCTGGTGCTTCTTAAGGCTGGAATTCTGGCTGAAGGCTTTTCCACAGTCACTGCAAACATAAGGCTTCTCTACACCATGGGTGACCTGATGCCTAATGAGGTTTGCGTGCACATGGAATGCTCTTCCACATTCGCTGCACTGGTAGGGCTCACTCACATGAGATCTCTGATGATTTTTAAGAGCTGAATACTGGCTGAAGGCTTTTCTGCATTCACTGCCTATGATAGACTTCTGTCCCATGTGAATGATCTGATGCTGAATAAGATCAGTGTTTCCTCGGAAGGTTTTTCCACATTCATTACATATGAAGGTGCTTTCAGCTGTTTGGGGACCCTCATGGCTAGTTAGGTCCATTCTGTGTTGGAAGCTTTGGCCACACAGATACAGATGTGGCCTCTCTTCCACAG